TTTTCGAACGTTTTTGTCGGAGGAGCGCTATATAAGGAGCCCAAAACTATATTATTTTTATAGTAAAATTATCAATTTTTGACCTAAATTGGTGATTTTTATACCTAACGAACGTTACTTGATTGCTTTACTTGCTCGAAAATAGACGAAAAATCAAAATTTTCAAACGTGATTTTCTCACAATGGAAACTTTTTATTGAAAACTTTCATCTCGTTCGAATCACGACTGAGAGGATTTAAAAGATATATCGCTCAACCCAGTCCAGTGATTACTTGTGGTTCCTGAAAAAAAATTTAAAAAAATTGAAATACGCCAGTATACAAAGCCCCCCCCCCCCCCCGTTTTCAATAGTCGACAAAAAATTTCAAAGCAAGTATATCAATTTAAAAAACATTTTCAAAAATTTTTGCTATTTTAAACGGACAAATTTATTCACTTAGCATGTTGGCATCCTGAAATCTTGGGTTTATCATGTGGCTTTGTCGGCTTAAAGGTCCATTTGCTGTTTCAATAGATTTCAGCCAATTACGATTCGTATGCTGAGATTTAAAAGTCAGCGAGTTCCGAGTGATTTCAATTTGGATAGGAAACAATTGTTTTGAACTTACAATGAAACTTTAACACAGGTACAACCGGAACTGCACCCCCAAAACTGCTTGGTACCTTTTGAAATTCCATTGATTGGGTTGATCAGCGCCATCTTGATTACCCTTTCACTTTTCAGTGCCAGAATCGCAACTGAAAGTGGCTTGCATCACCCAAACGAAGTTGGTGGCATACTAAAAAATTTTTCCAAAAGCAAAAGCTAGCTTTTTAAAGATCTTTGAACGGTACTAAAGCTCTCCTAAATCACTAGCCAGAACGTAAGGAATAAGCTAGTGCAATTTTTAGAGAAGTTGAAGTTTCACGAAGTTTAAATAACTAATAGAAATTCGAGTTTCTAAGCAGAAATCCTATCATCTTCGAACGATAAGAATACTTCATCAGTTTTGGTTTTATTCCTCCAGAAAATCCAATTATAACTAAAATACAGTTGGAAAAAAGTTAATTATTGCAAGCAAACTGAAAAAAATCTGTTTTCTTTTTAAAAAACGATCAAGTTTTGAATTAAAACTCAAAGCAAAAGGAGATGGCTTCAAAGCTCTTATAATTTCATATAATATTTATGATTGTCCTTTTTACAAAAACTAATTCAATTTGAGAAAACTGGATCAATAGGTGAAGTTTTTATTCCACTAGAAAATCTGAAAATTATAATTATTTTTCAAAATTTGAAGTCGATCAGGGTTTTAGTGACTTTTTCACTTTGTAGCCAAGGAAATCAACTTCAAAAAAAAATTGAAGTCCAATCGCGAAAAATCAAATTTCAGTGTGAAGAAACTATAAGACTTATCATGGACAAAAAAGTCAACTGATAATCGGAAAAACGTCGATGAACCAAGGAAACAGAAATGAAAAACATGTCAACTACTTTCTAAATCTGAATGTAAGAAACCCTGGCCTTAAAGCTCTTTAGTTTTCAAGAAAAAATTATGATTGACTTTTTTGATAAGATTAATTCAATTTTAGAAAACTGGGCCACACCGTATAGTTTTACTTCCGCTGGTAAATCCGAAAGTTAAAATCCACTTTCGAAATTAGAAGTTGATCAGGTTTTTATGACTTTTACACTAGGGCTCTTCGATAGTTGAGTTTGATTTCCTTTTAACAAAACAAAAGAACTCAACTTAAAACGACATCAATTGACAAACAGCGAAAAATCAAATATGAGCGTGAACAACTTAAAGCCTTTTCCTGAGAAAAAAAATATTATGACTTACATTAGTCTTTACAAGGTGAATCGACCCTGTAAAACTAGTCTTTTTTGAAACTAAATATCATTCAACTTTTTCCACATCAGTTGCATCCTTGTTATTGGAAAACGTAACGTTCTTTCAATACAGTAATTTAATTCATATTGACATAAAAAAAAACGAAATCCAAACCGCAAAAAAATCAAACTGTGTCAATTGAAACTGATTGTAAAACTTTTAGTGCATATGAAGCTACAAAATATTTTTTACTCCACTTTACGATTGATTTTGTGCATGGTGCTAATACTTATTTCTTGTGAGTGATCGCACAAAACAATGTAAGCAAAACCCACTGAACTCAAACAATCTTTACTTGTATCATTTTCTTTCTATAACGTTGTGGCAGCTAATCCCTTATGCAAATTACAAAGATACGAGCGGTTCAGCTCATAACAGAGAACAACTATAGTGCCCTTGTTTCAAGATCTATATGCATTATTTTTTCGGGACTGGGCAGTGTTATTTCACCCGAAAGCTACGATTAGGCATCATGGTACTCCCCCTTTCAAAAATTAAAAACGACACTCAATTCCATTTGACAATTTTTTCGGCGACAGATTATACAATTTTACTCATGGTCAATATTTTCAGTTTTCATATCCAGTTTTTCTCTGATTTCAGCTGGCAACCCGGCATTTGACTCTTCCAGATGTCTATACCTCTTCACCTTTCTCAACTGCAGTTGACTGAAATCTTGTTTCTCCATGTGAACCCTGCCCATCTGAGAGTTGAACTCGTCCATCGATATATTCTTGCGTTTCGAGGGCATCAACTCTTTAGGCTTCCTCAGACTCTCTTGATAGAGGTCATCTGTAGCAAGTTGTGACCTTGCAACTTTCAAGGTCACTTGAGGTCCTATTTCGACCAAATCTACGCGTGGTGCGCTGTCTTTTGCTACGCCGCTTTTCGCCAACTTGATTGCATATGGCATCATTTGAATCGAATCACCAATTAAGAAGAAAGAAATTACACTTTTCACTCCCTGCAATGAAAACTTATCAGTTACAATTCCTCGGAAATAATCGACGAAAAAACTTCTGATTCGAGAAGTCAGCTTTGATTTTTCGAAATCATCTCCGGCGAAAACAAGCAGCGGTTTGTTTCCTCTTCCCTCGGGTAAATTTCCGAGAAAATTTGAAACTGGTTTGAGGTCTTCAACTAAAAACTCAAACATATCCAAAATATTCCCGTTGTAAAGTCGACCACAAATCAACGCGTTTGGTTTCTTTTTCGAATGCCTGGAAAGTGAAAATAAAGATGCGTCATTTTTGCGACAAAACTTTTCAACTGGAGTTGGGTCTTCAAAAGGCAACAATTCCTGCTTCATTTTACCGTAAAATACTGCATGCGGTTTTTTCAGGTGGTGCAAATCCGCTAACAGCTCGGAGCTTTTTGTACACGTAGACGCACACCGGAAGAACAAAGAAAACTTCTCGTTTTCAACTATTTTCGGTTCACGATTCAGTAGGAACTTTCGTCCCTTGTGGCTTTTCGGTTTTTCTATGCGACGCAAAGGAGCCATTTGATACTCTGAAAACAATTTAAAGGCTTATTCAATTTCTTCTTTCTATTGCGTAACTACCCCGCTATTTTTCAGAGGACAATTTTTAGCTTGAAACCACTTACTGTAACGCATTTAAAACTCAATTATCTCTTTTGAAGCTATCCTTTTCCGGTAAATTTCTAGACTGATTGAACGATTATACTCCTGATTTGAAATTTCCAAGCATGTATTCTTTTTTGTATAAACGTGCTTGCAAAACACTTAAGTGCTGCAATCAGAACACACTATTCAACTCAGTTAAAAACAGGTCTCTTGGTGTTAAATTCAATTAAGTACATGTCATGTTACATTCCTATCAATATCGGCATCAAGGTAACATGCGTTTACAAATTAAAACAAATTAACCGGAATAACTCAATCACTGATGGAAAAAATGAATCCTTCAAAACTACACCCCAACTACTGATAACGACAATGACGTCATTATACTACCGAGCTGCTACGCCTTTCGCATTTGCGTATTTATGGACCATGAATTCCTTGTCAATCAAGTGGGATGTATGGCTCATCAGGTTCATTAGGCCATTAATGGACACAGCCCAGTCGTCCAGAACTTTTGCCGCGTCTCTCGGTTTCTTGAAACTCACTATGTTCGTCAGTCCATCAATTCTGGCGTATATCATTTCTTTGAACACCAGCTTTGATATGCAGATTTCCACCTCCTCTGGCGGTAAATCCAGAAGAATGGACATTCTTTCCAGTTTAACTCTGGTATAATACTCAGTCATCACTCTAATATTGTGTTCAACTACTCTTTCCTTAAGGCACTTCCAGGCTTTCTCGCCTTCTTCCCCCGTGAAAACTTCCGGCGGAGGGTTCGACTTCGATCCAGCCCTGAGCTCATTACCATAGTTTGCCTCCAGGGCAGACCAGGAAATAATTTCTGAGGTCAAAAACAGCTTGAGCAAGTTGTGATACATTTTCATGGGCTCCTCTTTTAGGTTTTTGTCGAGGGAAACTCTGTTCATGAAATCGGCCTGTTCGTTTCCATACTCTGCCAGACAAATGAATAGCACGACTGACTTGAGTGCCATGAATTTGTCTGATTCGTTCGCTTTTATCATCGGTGTTTCATATACAGCGTGGAAGTGTTTGCAAATGTCCAGATGTGAGCCTGAAAGAAAAAAATTTCATAATTGAGCCAAAAAAAAAAGAATTCACCCTCTTTTAATTCAAAGTTATTTTACACCGAGACAAGAGTAACCTCTGCTAGCCAACAATCAAAAAAATCTTAATTGGTAAAGAATGCAAAGCTGGTTGTTACGTGAAAAATGTTGGTTTCAAGATGTTTTTGTTTAAATGTATTGTGTTTAAGCAGACTCAAAGATGCAATTCTCGTACAAAACGACAGATTCAAACACAAGAAAGCTCTGCTTTGCAAACACTCGCAAGAGCATGACCAAAAAGCAGCTCTATCAAGTGAAATAAGAAAAAGTAGAAATAAGCCTCAATTGAGCAAAAACTCGGCAACGTGTAAGATTCGAATTTGCGGCCTTGCATTTTAGAGACTAACCACCCAGCCACAGATGCTTAAATTTACCAAAAACTAGCCAATAATAACAAAGCTACCTGTGCTAATAAATTGTCAATTCGATGCAGCAAAAGGGGTACCAAATACAAAAAGACACAATTTTGCATGTATTAAAATGAAAAACACAAAGCAAATTATGTATGAATTAGGCAATTCAAAAAAAATGCGAGATAAATTGAGTTGGAAAATTTCTGAAATCGAGTTTTTATCATTGTACTGCTGTTTAAAACAAATAACTTTTTTCGGTTCATTTGATGAATTAAACATGCATCAACTGTGTTAATTTTTCACTTATAAACTGTTAAATCACATACGATAGCATACAGCTAACAGCAGCCTACCGTTCAAAGTGCCACCAAAAATAGCACTTTTAATTCCGATTTAGGTTGGAAAAAAAAGAAGGTTCGTACCAATACAATCGCTTCGCAAGTGGAAAAAAAGCCGTTTTGCACGTCTGTGCTCATTATTGAACTGACTGTCCTCCTAGACCACCTAGTGCGCGAAGATTTAAGTGACATCACTTACAAAAAAAACACGGAAACTCTGTAATTTGATATATAATAACAAATAGTATTCAAAATTTAAAGGCAGTGTAGAAACTAAATACTTTTCGTACACAGACAATAGTTACTAATCTTGCACAAAGACATCAATCATTAGAGAAAAGTTAGATGATTTCCGAGATAAATTTCCGTACCAAACTTGGATTGAGTCTTTTTTAAATTGGTTCAGAAACAATGTTTGGTGAGTTTTTTTTATTTGAAATTACACTTGCGAACTTAATTGGTTATTACTATGCATTAAAATACCTTTCCCAAAAACAGTTTTTTTTGCGTATTGGCTGTTAGAGAAAACGATGAGAACTATTTTCTAGATATCTCATTCAAATACGATTTTCCTTTTGGTAAACCGAGCATAGCATAGTCGTTTTTGTGAAAATGTCCGCACCACACTCCTCTATCGGCACGCTACTGGTCGAGCTACAAAAAAAAACAGACAAATTTTGCATCACTTTTGAAAGTCCGCACTGCCAAACATCTTTAGCATGCGCCGGATAACCAGTATTTGCTGTTGCTGGTAAGTAAATTTTACTCTTTGTAGAAAATTTTTATTTTGTAATGCAATGAGAAAACCAAGTTTATTACAACGTTGGGAAATTGAAATTTTGAGATACTTCACCTTAAGTTTTCTATAAAAAAACGTATTCACATCTTGAAAACTACAAAAATTGAGCTGTCTTTTTGATGGCAATATTCGCAATCTTTGAAAAAACACAACTACAGGGTTGGGAATTTCACTGTAACAAATTATTTAGTAAACAAATCACAAAAATCGTCGTATCTCTTAAACAAAATTGATTTGTGTATTCTCAATTGGCGGCCAAATTTGCAACCCCTGCAATTACTCTGACAGCCCCCAACTTCAAACTTTGAACAGCAAACTTGGAAATTCAAACTTAAAAAAAAATAATTTAATTTTCATGAAAATTTTTCTGAAAAAAATCACAAAAAACTTCATATCTGGAAAATTACAAGGATTTGAGCAGTCAAATTAGGAGGCAAAACTCGCAACTTCTGGGAGTACCCTGGCAGAGCCTCACTACACAGATAAAAACTTTAAGTTTTGTGAAATTTTTTCATACCTTGGTTTTCTGAAAAAATTTGAAAAAAAAAAACCTAAAAAACGTCATATCTCGAAAACTATAAAAATTTGAGCAACCAAGTTCAGAGGCAAGACTCGCAACCCTTGAGAGTTCCCTCACAGATTCCAATAACAAGATTGAGATGTTGAAAACATTTGGAATTTTTTAACATTTAAGTTTTTTTTGAAAACTTCGGAGAAAATCATAAAAACGTCATACCTTGAAAACTACTAGGATTTGAGCCGCCCTAATCAGAGGCAAGATTTGAAACCCTTGAGAGTACCCTCACAATATCCAACAACAGGATTGAGATCTCCAACGTTTTGGGAATTTTTGAAATCTAAGTTTTTGATAAATTTTTGAAAAAATCATCAAAAACGTCATATCTCGAAAACTACAAGGATTTGAGAAGTGACAATTGGAGGCAATATTTGCAACTCCTGAGAGTACCCTGACCGCACGCAACTACAGGGTGAGAATTTCAAAAATTGAGAAATTGTTTTTAATTAAATTTTCTAGAACATTTTGAAAAATCTCGAAAATTGCCTATCTCGTAAACTAAAAGGATTTGGTTATTCATATATGGAGGCCAGAATCGCAAAACCTGGGAAAACTCTGACAATATCCAACTATTGGGTTGCTAATTTCAAACTTGAAGAAATAAACACTGAATTTAAACTGAAAATCGAAAAGAAAAACCTTAACCATTGCAATATAGACAACAAAAGAGAACTAAGAGGCAGTGAAGATGTACAAAACAAAGGTACCAGATAGATTCTTAACTCCTCGGCTATCCCTTTAAAATCAACGACTGCAAAAAATTTGATTATAACCTCTTTCACAATTATACGAACTCCATTTCGTCCACTAAGTTGCTAACAACAACTACGATTGTTTTGTTTACGATCACGTTATGCCCTGCACTAAAAATTCCTTCCAGACCCGACAAGTGTCCAGAAACGCGTTCGATATCTCAAAGCTGAAAAAACAAAAGACGAAGAACAATTTCTGGTACCGAATACCTTTTCAGGTAAACAAATTGTCAGCTTTTCTTGGATTCGACCTGATAACGATGGATTACAAAAATTTGAAAGAAAAACTGACTGAATTATACTGGCAATTCTTCTATGAAAAATTTACTGAGAGCGATTAATGTACTTGGCGAATCAACTGTGCTTGCGACTGCTGCTTAAACTCGAAAAACTTTGACATCAGATAAAAATGTTAAAACTCGGAACTTGATTTAGCCCTTGGATTTTGTTCCTAAATTCTGTATTATTATTATTATACTAACTACTCAGCCACGGACTCTTAATAAACCACAAACACTGGCCATAAATAATGCAGAGAACAGAGGATATGAAATTTCCAATGCTACAGATTGTGATTAAAGCAAAAGAGCTAGCAAATAAGTGGACACTTTTAACGAACACTTTCATTTGCGAATTAGGTTAGAAAAAAAGGTTCGTACTAACACACTAATGCTCACAAGCTGGCTAGTGTAAACATGAAAATCGTGTAACCTGCTATTAACTAGTTTTTTTAAACCAAAATCAGGGAAACGAAAAGACCGAATCAGTATTATAACTCAATATGTTTACGCTCCGCTTGTGTGTAATTACAATCTCAACGAAGCATCGTTTTTCAGCACTTGAATCAAAAATACGCAAACAATTAATTCATTACTTGAATCCAGAAAACGAGAAACTCAATATTGATCAGCAAACACTAAGTTTTCTTTCAATAGAAGAACAATTTTGCCATTGACTGGGTTTAAGAGGTGTACTGAAGTTCGGGTACAAAATGCGATAAAAGTAACAATTCACACTCCTTTCAGGTGCCTTGGAAGTACTTAATGACTCTCCAATAACTTACGAAACTATTTTGATTCCACAAACCTTCATGTTTGTCCAGTCTTATCATTAGCCGATAAAAGCGAAGCTTCAGGTCATGAGTTTCTTCATCTTCAAAATAACGAGTTGACACTTTTTTGCTGATTATTTGGGCACGGATGAAGTCATTATTATCCAAACAAAATCTCATCTGTTCAAGAATGAAGTTGACTTTCTCGCGTCTGTCCATCGTGTTGTATGTTTCAACTTGGAGTTCAATCATCAATTTGACAGCTTCCTCCAGTTGTCCATGAGATTCTTTGTGGTCAGCTAAAATTTTGGTAAGTCGCGCTCGCTCATTTTCAACGTAAATTTTTCCCTCGCAAACGCTTCTTAAAGTCTCGATTAGCTTAAATTTGATGGTTTCATCAGCAAGCTCTTCAACGAACTTGCAACCCTCCTGTACCATCTTTGTAACGGCTTGCCTGAGTTGACTTCGCTTTTTTGAGAGAGCAACTACTTGCTCACAAAGACTGTCGAATTGTTGGGCATCATACAATATCCTTACAATTGTTACCAAAATCTTTTCTGTGCTGAAAACATCACAAGCAAGACGGGTCTGTTTTTCCATGGCGATCAATTTTTCAATTGATCCGTTAATATCTCCCTCTTTAGCCTGTGCAATAGCTTCTGGTATCAGTTTTTCAACTGTTCCAGAATAATCCACCTCCATTTTACGCACTTGCACTTCTGAATCCATGACAATGTCTGAAAAGAACATAATCGAATGTTGCTTCAATGAGACAATTCCTCTGCTTTAACATGGAGGAACATCGGATTCCGTTACAAACCTCCATAACACTGTGATCCCAAAGACAGATAAATATATATAATTTTATAATATTAATACCAAATTGTTGGCAGTATTTTTTCGGTCAACGAACTTGAACGAAGTTAATTAAACTAAAACTACTCACTTTGATGTCCAATTTCATCCATTTAATGATTACCATACGTAAAACCAGTTCCTAAAAAATATTTAGCCTAAAATGCTGTAGTTTTTGAACGATCAAACTGCTCAAGGTCACCGACATTGCCAACAATTTGTCAATAACTATAAATCAGAAGGTCAGAAATTACCATGGTAACCGAAGTAACTTCACCAGTCTTTCATAATTTCAACGAGTCAAAAAGCCATTGGTATTTGATAATTTAGGGAAACGTAAAAAAACGGATGAGCTCTTTTTTCGAATAAGCTGAGTAAAAAGTTATTCCTGCGACGTGAACATTCTCAGCAAGAAAAGTACATTAATATTGGTTGGTGACATCAACTTCGCTAATACGCATTGGCAAACCTTGCAATCAACCCAAAAACACGAACAATTAGTACTGCAGACTGTTACTGATATGAACTTTCAACAGTTTATCGAACCCCCTCATGACCAATTAGATATTGTCCTTTGCAACAACCCGAAGATTATTTTAAACACCACGATAGATAACCATCTCACACCAAGAAAGAGAATTATCAGACCACAACCCTTTTCTAATCACGATATCATCTCTTATACACAATGACGAAAAAGCCACTCCCATACAACACGGATCCGGATCCGACTTTCTGGACTTTGGTGTCTTCTCATTTAACAACGTCGATTGGATTACTTTAAACAAATACATTTTGGAACACCCATTTCAACCGTACTGCTACTCTAACATTGACCACTTAATCAACTCATGGTACCTCTGGCTATATATAGCACTAGAAAAACTCATGAAAAAACAGACCAAACACCGTATGAACCTAGCACCTTGGATCACACCTGAAACCTCCAATATTATCAAAAGACTCAACACAGCATCAAAAAAAGTAGCCTTTAAAAATACTCATTCTAATAACCGCAATCTTGAAAGACTTAAAAACCTTGTAGATCATTTATCCGAATTAGATCAGAAAAATTTCGAAGAATCAACTTTCAAGGGCAGAAATTTCTCAAAGCTCCAAAATTACTTTAAAAGCATACGAAAAAACTCAAGTACTCCAAAAACAATGCACTGGAATGAAAAAACGGAATCAACAGAGCACGGTAAAGCTAATCTTCTAAACAATTACTTCGTAAGCGTTTTTAACATTAAACAGAATGGAAACATTTTACCAATAGCTGAATTACCTGGCTCAATCAAATGCTTCAATTTCTCTGAAAATGAGATATACGACATCCGTAAAACATTAAACCTCCAAAAAGCAAGAGGACCAGATAGACTCGGTAACACAGTTCTAACCAATTTAGCAGATAGCATAATTTCATCTCTAAAACTGATTTATAACACCATCACCAACAATGCAACATTTCCAACGATCTGGAAACTTAGCCAAATCATCCCAACTTTTAAAAATGGAGACAACCAATCGGTCACAAAATACAGGCCCATCAGCCTGCTAACTGCAGTATCCAAAGTCTTAGAGAAACTGATCTTCCTTAAAATCTCACCAAAGATCTTCTCGCAAATCCATGACAGCCAATTTGGCTTCTGTCCTAAACGATCGACAACTCTGCAAATGCTCCCATTCCTCGACAAAATCTATGATGACTTTGATAACCCTAATATCAAGTCTCTACAGGCAATATACTTAGACTTCGAAAAGGCTTTCGACAAAGTTCCTCACGACTTGTGCATATATAAACTCAATAAATTTGGCATATCAGAAAACGCACTTAAACTATTAGCAAACTACTTAACCAACAGAAAACAGCAAGTACGAATAGGTGCGGCAGTATTCAGCCATCTTGAAGTTAGTAGCGGCGTACCTCAAGGCTCACTGTTAGGGCCAGTATTCTTCATTACATTCATCAACGATTTACCGTCATCACTCACCAACTCGTGCTATGGTTACGCAGACGATTATAAAATTGTTGCAACGAACCCTTCCCTGCTCCAACATGACCTAATCACAATCAACTTATGGTGCAAAGATAATTCCATGAGTCTTAATTTGAAAAAATGTCACAATATAATATTCAAAGACCCCCAACTTGACCTAAACATGTATCTCGGTGACCATATACTTGAAAAAACCTGTTCAGAAAAAGACCTTGGTATACAAATAACCAACAACCTAAACTGGTCAGCACACGCAAAAATAAGAGCCCAAAAAGCAATAGGCTGCTTATTTTTAATTAAAAGAAATATTTTAAAATCAGCGAGCTTAAAAATGAAACTGAACTCCTACTGTGGATATGTAACCCCATTTGTGTCACATGGCTCACCCATATGGAAAGCAATTAAGTGTGAATTAAAAATTATTGAAGATGTCCAAAGAAAAGCTACACGTTGGATACTGTCATGTAACAACATCAACTATAAAGACAGACTGATTAGATTAAACCTGCTTCCACTGTCTCTCTACCACGAAATGCACGACATTCTCTTGCCTCACAAAATAATAAACGACCAATACAACTTCCATTGGAGACAATTTGTTCAGTTCAAAGAATCTACAGCCCCAAAAAGAAGATCAACGAAAAATAACTTAGCGCATAAAAATTATCATTACGAAAAATCGAAAAGCAATTTCTGGCACAGAACACCTATACTAGCAAACAAAATTTTACAGACTCAGGAAGAAGAAGACCTGTTTGCGATGAAATACGAAAGACTCAAATCAAGCCTCAAAAACGTTTTCTGGATAAATTTCATCAGTAAATATGAGGAAAGTGTCCCATGCACATGGAGAATAAACTGCTGCAATAGCTGTGTAAACTCAAAGAAACTATAAAACTCAGTTTAAAACTCCCAACGCGGGGCATTTTAGCCCCATGGCTTTATGTCTAAATCCTTGTTTATTATTATTATTATTACACATAGGAAAATTCACTGAACTCGGCTGCCTCTTAAAACTTCACGAGGATTGAAAAAATTGATGCAGATGAGGAAATCTGGTAACTTCAGACCTGGATGGGTAATCAGGAGGTCAAAAGTGTCATAGTAACCGAGGTTACAGTCAGGAGTCCCTTCATCACGTATTCCAGTCAAAATCCTTGGAACTTTCTAGATATGGAAGTGATAATGATAAAAGAAGATGACAAGTATTTAAGTCCTTTTCAATTAAAATTGATACGGATTACGTTTCTTCAATAAGAACACGCAACTCGACACGAGAAAATTGTAACAGTCGCCTACTTCGGTCACATATGAGGCTTAAGAAAAATTGGCCCTATAACCATTGGCTCAAGAGTCAGGGACACTATCTCTTGTGTTTTTCTACCTCAAAACGGTCGGAGCCAATTCGGTTCGCTTGCGACATGAGACTAGAACCCGTTACAGCTTAAAGGCCACTACCAAAATATCCCCCCCACTCTAGAATATAAGAACGTCCCCATACTTAGGTCTCAAAATACCCAAAATACACGAACGCCTTTAAAAACAGGGTTGGAACAATCCGTTAAGTTACTTTTTATTAGACAGTGGGACTTTGATCCATTCCAGATGGATCAACCTAAAACTCGCCTTACCTCAACATAACAATCATAAAACACACTCGAGAAAATTAAATTAGGTACTTACATAGCAGCACACTCGAGAACTAGAGGTAACTAAATTAGTAAGCAACTTGAGAATGATCGGGGAATTAAGTTTAATTCAATAAGTTCTAATCGAACAAGTTTTATCTCAAGAATGGAGTTTTGGTTCTGGACCATTGGAACACTTCGGTTGTCCACCTTTCCACCGAAGGCTCACTCTGGTTCAGCTAGATTCCGATCTTTTTTTGTAATCACTGTCTCCTATATCAAGATAGGACAGCTCTACTCTCGTGGTTTTTATTATTATCTTGGAAATTGCGAATAGCAATTTCCCACTGTTTTTCTGTCACTTTCCCGCAATTGTCAATTTGGTTGTTCTCCTTTTTTAATTTTTTTTGTTTTCAGTTGTCGCGAGAAAACTGAGCATGACAGGCTCCATTGGAATTTTTTAAAAATAAAACTTCATTCCAAATACACGTATTTTCGTGTTCCTCAAGGTCAAACTTCCAGATATGACCGACTGGCACATACTCCCCGGCCTCAAGATCGATGTCCTCATCGCGTGCTGCCGTCTGTCAGTGAATCCCCAGGAACCCGAGTGTTACTCAAGATACAGTACCAGTGGTCATTTACAGAAGTTTGCAGCAGACTTAAGTTTATCTACACCCCAAAATTCACAACCATGTAAAATTTTCACACTATCGCTAAACAGCAATCAAAACCTGCACACACCTGCACCTGTGGATTTTCGCTTTTTAAGCTTGTATTTTAAAATTTCTTTTGCCCTATTCAATCAGGAAATTGTCATGCAGCATTTTGATTTATATAATAGATATAACATATTAATAACAATATCTCATTTGTTAAAATTTCTTTTTGGTGAACCCAGATTTCATCCGAGTCCACCCTCGAGCCCCCTTCCCTCTCAAGACTCAAGATTCTAGAATTCCCCACTGAGCCACCTGCTCACCTCGCGTTCCTCGCCTTCGAGGTACCAGACCCAGATGCATTGGACACCGTGATCTGCTTCAACAGTGCCTCTTCGTCATCGGAGCTAATCACGATCTCTTCCCAGGCTTTCAGCTGTTCATAGGACCGTATCCATTTCCTTTGCTCCTGCAATCTCTTTGCTTGATTGGGCAAACTCTTCACCCTCGACTCTTGGTTCAAACAGAAGGAATTGTGCAGACTCAGGCTCACGTTCTTCGCCAAGTCTTCCTCTAGTATCGACTCTCTCGCCTT